AGTCGCACTCAAGGATGAACTCCTTGTAGGGATTCGCTATCTTCAAGATTGGGGCGGTGGTGAAAGACGTCTTGAGAATGTCAAACGCTTGTTGTTGTCTATCTGTCCACACAAAAGGTACGTCGGCACATGTCAAATCGCGTAGAGGTCTTGTGATCTTAGAGAATCCGCTGATAAATTGTCGGTAAAAATTAGCAAAACCCAGGAAGCGTTGGATCTGCGAGACATTCTTCGGGTTTGGCCAATCAGTAACCGCCGATACTTTGAGAGGGTCCATTCGGACTTTGTTCTTCAATATTAACAGTCCAAGGTAATCAATTTCCTTCTTTGAGAATTTACACTTTTCGGGCTTTAACCAGATGTTATGAGCTTGTAGGATCTCTAGTACCTCACCAACGACCTTCTCGTGGTCAACCCCTTTCGGCGTATATATAAGTAAGTCGTCTAGATATGCAGCAAGATCTTTTCCAATTTTCTCACGGAATATGTCGGATATGAAGAATTGAAAGTATCCTGGTGCCCCCGTCGGTCCAAATGGCATTACTAATGGTTCGAATTGTCCACGTTTGCATATGAAGGCAAGTCTCTTCTCATGACCTTCAAAGACACGCAGGTTATTATAGCCATTGCGCATGTCCAAACAGGTAAAGTCCTCCGCGTCTCTCAAACTGTCCACTAGTTCCATAGTTAGTGGCAAGGGATACTTATTCTTAACCGTTAACGCATTCAACTTTCTGTAGTCAAAGCACGGACAAAGGTTGCCATCCTTTTTTCCGGTGAACAACACGGGGGCCGCCCAAGGAGAAGTAGTACGTCGAATAGTTCCTTTTGCTAAGCCTTCGTCAATCATAGTATTGAGTGCTGTTTCCTCCTCGGGTGACAGAGGGATTATCCTACTGGCCTGTGGGGTGGCTCCAGGTATAAGGTCAACTCGGAAATCGTAACGACGGTGTGGCGGTAATGTCATCGAATTTTTCTTTCTGAACATGTTGATATAGCGGTGATATTGGGACGGCACGAGTTCTTCTACAGATTTCTCCGGTCGATTCTTGACATCGTCGGCCGCAAGTTTGGCTGATACGTTCCAGGAGGTCTTTGCGGCGCATACCGACGGTATCAAGCTGTTGTCCAAAAAACTAAGCTTGTCAACTGAATCAAGGATGTGGTGGGGGGCTTTATCGGACTCACCTCGCGGGGGCTTAATCTTCCCAATGGAAAGAGCCCCCTCGCCATGTTTCCTAGCGTTCCCCTTCCGGGCCTCAAGGCTACCTGGGGTGGTTTAAAGTTCCCACAATCCTCATTGTATACGAGCCTATAAAAGCTGTCAGTTCAACTTCCAAGACTGATTAGCTGGTTGAAGGACAAAATTGAAGCAGGTAAGGAGAGTTCAGACTTACGCAGTGAAACGACGTCGCAAGTGGTCACACTTGCGTTGTCAAGCTAAATACACAAAACTGAGAGTTGTAAGTCACGATGATTCCACAAGAAACCAAAGGACCAGGATTTTAACTGAAGAGCTCACGCGAGAGACAAAAAAGACGCAGGGGTGAGGACGCAACACAAGAAAAGTTCGTACGCAGGGGTTGAGGCCACCATGCAGCCTCTGATTGGACGTTGTGTGCCCTCCAACCTTTGGCACGCGACATCCAATCAGAGGCTGCATGGTATTTCACCTTTTGGCAATCAGTGAAATTGCACAGGCCGATGAGTGTTCCCTCCAGAATTTTTGGAAACCAGACAGTGACTCGTGAGTGAGCCACTGTCAACACGCCAAGGCCACGAGTTGTTGCCCTTTCAGGATCCGTATGTAATGTGGTGGTGTTTGGTTGCATCTGTCCCGTCATCCACACAGACTGATTCAGAGGATGAGCTCAGCAAGCAAAGTAAGTCTCTGCTCACGCTTACTTGGCTCAGCAATCAGTTTTGGAAAGATGCCACGCGATTTCGCGCTGACCATGCGAGGACCAAGCAGGCGGTCTATAGGCCCGCAGGACGCGCCTACAAGTCCCGCTGCTGGCTGCTCTGGGATTAAACAGGGGCGGCCCGTGAAGGCCAGCCCAGGGTGGCCTGCAGTCTGGCCAGGGGCGAGTCTTGGGTCGGAAACCGACCTGACGGATTTCAGACTGGTTGGGACCAACTTCTGACCCAGGATCCCCCCGTGGTGTAGTAGATTATCCTCTTCCAGCTCTGTATAACCCTTGTTGGGTTATAAGTTCTACAACGTGGCTACCAAAACCTGTGATAGGATTCAGAATATCATACAAGCAGTCCAGAACCCGATCTCATTGAAACTTACGGCAGCAACATCAAACTACGAAGTCAAAGACAAAATACTCTATCACCAAGGTAGGATTGAAGTCCCAGACAACAACAACATTAAATTGAAGATTTTACAAAGCAGACATGACAGTTTATTAGCTGGACATCCCGGTAGATCAAAGACTTTCAGTCTTACCCGTAGGTGCTTTTCATGGCCCGGAATGAAAAGATACATAAATAAATATGTTGACATTTGTGATTCATGCTTGAGAGTCAAAAGCACAACACAAAAGCCATTTGGATCGTTAGAACCACTACCCATCCCAGCAGGCCCTTGGACCAAAATCAGCTACAATCTCATTACAAAACTGCCAGAATCAAACGGTAAAGACAGCATTCTTACCGATGTCGACCGATTGACAAAAATGGCACATTACATACCATGCAGAGAAAGCATGTCTTCAAACAAACTGGCTGATATCATGACAAAAGAAGTTTGGCAATTACATAGGAACCCAAAGTCTATTGTTTCAGATAGAGGGACAATTTTTATATCTCAACTGACTAAAGAATTGAACTCAAGGTTGGGTATACGTCTATTACCATCAACGGCATTTCACCCACGCACAGATGGTCAACCCAAACTTGTGAATAGAGCAATTGAACAATACTTAAGACACTTCGTGGATTACCGTCAGACAAACTGGGAATCACTGTTACCCACTGCTGAGTTTTCTTATAATAACAGAGACCATGTATCCATTGGAGTTTCACCATTTAAGGCTAACTACGGTTATAACCCAACATTCAGAGGAGTACCAATGAGTGAACAGTGCATCCCACAAGTAGAAGAACGGTTGAAGATACTGAAAGAAGTACAAGCCAAATTATCAGAATTGTTGGAAGCAGCTCAAGAAGAAATGAAACACCAATTTGATGAGGGAGTCAGGCCAACACCGACTGGGAAGATAGGAGATCAGGTCTGGTTAAACAGCAAAAATGTTTCTACTACAAGACCTAGTCCTAAATTGAAACATCGGTGCCTAGGACCATTTGATATTATTGAACAAGTATCTTGTTCTGCTTACAGATTGAAACTACCAGATACAATGAAAGGGGTACATGCAGTGTTTCACGTGTCATTACTACAAAAGCATAAGACAGTGTAGTATTTAAAGCTCAACAAGAGCTTTACAACAACTAAGAAGGGATAATCTACTATGTGTAATATAGTAGAAGTTGCCTAAAGACTGCCTTCTTTAAAGAAACCAGCACAAGGGCACTTGCTGCCCACTTTGTGATAACAGAGAGAAAGATAAAGGCACCAGAGAAATAAAGCAATACTGTTGTGTAGTAATATTCCCAGATTTTAAGCACAAAAAGTCCACACACTATGTTATTACTAGCAATACTGTTGTTAAGTATTATTCTCAAATTGACTTATAGTCTTTAACACACGTAAATAAATTTCTCCTTGCTTTGAAGGGGCGGATTTAAGTGATCTTAGTACAAATACAGTAAATAAATGATGATTTATAACACTACAACAAAGGTATAAGATGCAGAAAAGGGAAAAACAATCCCAAAATCATCAAGGAGTACTTATATCCACATGTAACAACCTCTACAATAGTCAACAGCCTCAAAAACCAGCCAAATCCGCCTAAAGAACCCTAAAAACCATGTAATGACGCAATGTAATGATCTTGTTACTAATGTATGATGTAATTTCCACAGCCAAAAGTGATCAATGGCACAATGATTTAATGTACAGCACTTCTTAAGATGAATACAGGTGATTTGTACCTTGTAAACTAGCTGCAAACCAATTTTTGAGATTACGAATGTTTTTCAGATGGGGTCCAATTTTGAACTACTATAGTGCATCTTGTATCCCTCGTGATACTGATCATTTATGACACCCATATGGTCTATTTCTTATGAGTGATGAGTAAGATATTGAGTTGTGAAGTTAAGGTTTTTGGTGTTACATGTTGACTTGTGACTGTAAATTCAAGATTCACACCAATTTCTTATTTCCCTCATAACGTTTTACATAAACCTCCGTTACTGATGAGGTAAAGCTTGTACATTATGTAATACACTCTTCTGCGTTGAATGGGCTATTTATCAACCTAATCTGACGTCATTCAACATATGTAATTAGCTGAAAACCTTCATTTTCGACGAAATTCACCCATTTTCCTCACTTTTCACAGCTGCTACTCTCTTTTCCTTGCTCATGTAATATGACATCATCTTCTACAACCTTAAAAATCCCGGAAAATTCTCTTGGCAACCTTAATTTCCATCACTACCACCATTACATATGTAAACTACATGTATAACCCTTGTTTACCATCCTCGAAAAAGTACCTTTCTGCTAATAACTTCTGTCTTTCCTTATCAACCTTCAAGATTAAAACTGTTACTGTATAATAAGATGTTGTTCTTTCATATTCTAACCCTAATAAACCCATAAATTAATTATCAATACCCTAAAAACCGTTTTCCAACTTTTACACCTATATTTTCAAATGTTTCTTATCTTTTCTTTTTCTGTCTTTTTGTAATAACTTTGTAAGTAAACTATAATGATCTTAAGAATATATTTGAAATAAGATGACATAATATTGAGTTAATAAGTACACATAAGTCTCTAAGAGCTTCAATTGATCTAAAAACCGTCATTTCGAATTTTCTTAGGGTTAGGGTTAGGGTGTAGGTAAAAGTACCAATGGTCATTTTGATGTTAGTCTATATTTTTGATTTACACTTTTCTTCAGAAATTGCATGCTAGGTTTCAACTTCTTTCTTCCTGACACCAGAGCTGATATTATTTGTGAAAGATGCTGTATTGACCAATCAAATCACAATCAAATGACTCACAGATGTTATGTGACCACTTCACATGACTGTGTTCAATGTGAACTGGATCTACCATATTAGGGCGGTTCAAGAAGGGTTCGGCAAACCCCCTTGACACAACCTGGCGAACCCACATTTTAAGCTCGGCCAGTCCTTCAAATCCAGGTTTGCACATTGCCGAACACCCCAAATTTACGATTTAAGTGCTTTTAAATCCAGGTCAAACCAACCTTTTTGTTCATTCTGGTTCCAACAGTTGGTTTTTTGTGATTCTTGGTCCTTTATTAAATGGGAAAGGAGGACGGGCTCCGCTGGGCAACCTAAGGATTATCTGGCTTCCAACCCATTGTCTACAGAGAATTTGTTAATGAAAGAGGTAAGGGTTGGAAAAAAAAGAAAAACCAGGGACAGCGCTGAAAAAAAGGAAAATGGAAGCAATTTTGTTTTTTGTTTGTTGTACCTGATACAACACTTTTTTTCAAAAATCACAGGTACAAGATTTAAAAATTTTAAGGACACTGAAGTGTTTGCAAAACCGTGAACCACCTCTAAAGGTGGATCACAAACCTAAAATTCTACTTATAATTTTAAGTTCCCAAACGCAACTTGAAATTTAAGATAGGGCTGTAAAAGGCTTTCTTGAACCTCCCTATTGTCAGTATCGGCACCAGGTCATAAATCACACCACAAAAGCAAAGAGAACATGGTTGATAAGTATCATTTCTCTTCTTTGGAGGTGTTATTAAAAACATGGTTTTATAATCATTGTTCATACCAAGGACATATCTGTTTCCTGTATTTGGACATTATTTATCTAATCTTGGCCACAGTGGGAACTATAACCAAAATGAGGCCGGTCTGACTTTGGTATTGGCCATACTGGAAATCATAACAAAAACATGATTTTCTAAATTTGGAAACACAGATATAGAAGGAAGCAATTTCTTATCATGGATATGAGAGAAGAAGAGAATCAAAAGCTTATTGGGGGGATACACATGTGATATTGCAAGGTAAAACCAGCCTTATTTCATGATGTGAACAAGAAATCATAGTCAAATACTGACCTACAGCCATTCCGATATTGCTTGTCACACCTTTTTGAAAAAGAAAAAGTTTGTGAGCTTGAAACCTAAGTTTTAACCGGTTAAAACCTGAAATTTGGCTGTATTGCCTTGAATTACAGCCAAGTTTGAAGTTTTATTGAGTAAAAACTCAGGTTTCATGTTTTCTTTTTCAAAATGGAGCAACAAGCAATATCGGAATGGCTGTATTTTTGTTATTGTCTCATTTTAATTATCTCCAGCTTCATCATTATTTTCAAAACTTCCTGAGTTGTCTTGTGTTCCATCATTTCCACCTACATTTGCAGGCAAATATCCTGTAATTTGTCCACCTGGATTGCTGGTCAGGTTGGTTGCCAATCCAGTCAAGTTTCCTCCTCCTCCTTCTAATTGATCACCACTTCTGCCTTCAGTCATTGTTGTTGAAGTGTGCAATTGACGGAAATAAGAAAAGTTACAAATTAAGTAAGAAAGGAATTACAAGAGTAGTGCGGAAAGATAAACCAGAATACGTCATGAAACAAAAGGAGAATTACATCATTGTATTCCCCCAAAGTATTCAGACTAGTAGATTACTTATAATGTCATTCGATCAACCCAACTGACTTCTCTTCCCCATCTTTGGGAAGAGAAGTAAGTAAATTTTCATCTTTTCATTATCTCAATATTTGTTTACTGAATTTAACTGTTGTTTCTCAATGTCTTGACCAAATAGAAAATTAGTCTCTTGTTGACTCAAAGATCAGTTATCAGCTGAAAGATAACTTAACTAACTAAATGTATCATCTATTAAATTGAACCTTTGTTCTAGGTATTAAATGTTTCTTAATCAAACTCATTTCATCATCTTCTGTTTTCTGATTAAATTATCATTGTTTTAGGTCAGAGTCTTCTTCTTAGAAAAAGTTGTTGGAGGTTGTTATAATTAATGCACCGACCCGGCCCGAAAAAAAAGGGCCGAACCCGGGTATGGGACCGGGTCGAGCGGGTCTCGGCGTGAGTATGGGTGACTTCGGGTTGACCCGGTCTGACCCGCTTATATGGGCAAAGGGTAGGTTTTCTCAACTTTTCTCAAGTTTAGAACAAATTATAATTCTTTAATTTCAATAGACTTCAATTTTTTATTTCAATAGACTACATTCTTGTATTTCGTCTTGATAAGCTACCATAAAACTTGAAAAGTTGTAAAAATGAGAAAACAAAAGCGACCATTGTTGATACCTTATTCCAAGTCTTGAGGCATACAAGAGCTTCAAACGTCTCTGATTTAAGACCATGGCGTCGTTTAGTTAAAATACGGCCCCCAGCTGAGAAGGCCCGTTCTGAAGGTGTACTACAAGCTGGGACTGAAAGAAAGATTCGAGCCATCCTTGCAAGAGATGGGTAAATCATATCATGTTCGCGCCAATAATCTAATGGTTTACAAGAGCCTGGCTCTCGGGGATCTGCTAGATACGATACAAGTTCATCGGTCATTGAACGTTTCTTGGGGGCCGAGATGAACGATCGAGGTCCGTCTTCGTCAGTCATTTCCGAGGTGTTGTCGATAACATCATCATTATCATCTGGAATGAATTGGCGAGCCTCCCTTAAGAAGAGATCTTGCCAATCGGATTGATTGAAAATTCCAGCTTTATGAAGAGTGTCTGAGGAAAGTTCTTTGTCTTTGCTTCGAGGGTCAAGTACATGTGCACAGAGATAGACAGGCTTATGAATCGCTTTGTTAAAATAGTCGGAAAGTTTTTTTCTTCATAGGAGCGTGTTATGATCCTAGATCATGGTTCACTGAGGTGTCACAACTCGTGACAGAGGAGACACTTGAGCCTACTCTTGTTCAGAGCTTTTCCTGTATTGCTCTTTCCTCATGCTACAATATTCATACCAACTAGTTAGCACCCTCTCCCTCCGTTGCCTCCACGAAAGACCCCTGAAGCCGGTCATAACACATTGTAGCATCTAACTCGAAACAGACCGAGAGGACATCAAGAAGAAAAGAAAAGAAGAATAATTGAAATTTAACAGTAAAAATTAAAGAAGAAGAAAATTTTAAATACGAGACGATAGACAAAGTTCAGAAAAAGAAGATTAAAATTAAAAAGATTGAAGTTAGTAAATTAAGAAATCCTATCCACCTCCACGCTCTCCATCACCACGCCGTCCTTCCAAATTCCCACCGAAGATACCGAATCCGTTGAGGGCGAGTCTTGGCACGAAGTAACACCTGACAGCCTAGAGTCGAACTCGATGGCTACGACCGAGGATATCAACCGTCTGGCTCAGCAAATGACCAAACTGAACAACCAGTTAGTCGAGGAAGCGGCACGCCGTAATGAGTTGAACAAAAGACTTACGCAGGAAACCACACGTCGTGAGCAAGCTGAAGCCCGACTTGCCCAACTTGAATCCGGCCAAAACCCTACTACTGCCACCGTACCACCGTCATTTGCACCAGCACCAACATCTGCGACTACACCTGCACCAGCACAAACCTCAACGACGACCACCGCAACTACCACCACGACACCCCATATGATAAAAGTCGCCACCCCGGATAAATACGACGGCACACGTGGAGCATTGGCGGAGGCTTACGCTAGTCAGGTTGGGATCTATATTGCCATGAACTCTGCACTGTTTAAGACCGATGGATCAAAAGTCATGTTTGCTATCTCTTATCTGACCGGTGAGGCTATCAAATGGGCTCAACCATTCTTGCAACAGATCCTCAACCCAAATGAAGAGAATGAAGTCACTTACATGGAATTCACCCGCGCCTTTGAGCCTGTATTCTTCGACTCCGACCGACAGAAACGTGCCGAAACTGCTCTCTGTGCCTTGAAACAAACCCGATCAGCTGCTGAATATACAATCAAGTTCAATCAATTAGCCCCAGCAACCAAATGGGAATTACCTACGTTGATTAGTCATTATCGACAGGGATTGAAAAGTAACGTTTGTATACCGATGATCCGTGACCAGTTTGACACTTTGGAGGATATCACTAAGCTCGCATGTGCCATTGATAACGACCTACGCGGGGAACACACTGATCCAGCCCCGATGTCACGCCCGGCCGACCCCAACGCAATGGATATATCCTCCGCCTGATTCGACATTTCTTCAGATGAGTACAACAGGACGATAGCTGGTAATTTATGTTTTACATGTGGAAAATCTGGTCATCAAGCTCGTTGGTGTAAAAAGGATCGTCGTGATGGGTTCAAGAGTAGAGGAAATGGAAAGGGGAAGATTGCAGAATTAGAGGCGAAAATTGCTGCGATGGAAGGGGGGATGAGTAGGTTGACGGCTAGTAGTTCGGGTAGTTCATCAGCAGATCTGTCAAAAAATGGCGACGCTCAAGAGTGACGGACGTGCCACCCTCGGGCCTGTGTCAGGAGAAATTAGTAGTGGAATTGGATGCTGTTATGTCAAATGCAAATACAAACCAAGATCCTCGTGTGTTTACATCCATATCCCTTTCCCAAACCTCCTGTGCCACGTCCCCCAACCCAGACAGTATTCCAGCCCGTGCATTGATTGATTGCGGCTCAACCCATGTGGTCTCACAGCCCCCAATCACAAGTCACTGGCAGGCCAGTGCCTCCCACCGACCCTAGCAAGTTATGAGCAAGTTATGAGAAAGTTATGAAATGGATATCAAATGGATAACATCCATCGATTGAGAATTTGTTGAGAAGTGGTTGGGAGACCACCAAAATTGAGATGATGTCATACAGCATCATAAACCTGTACAAACCTGCTCCTGTATTTCCCCACCAAGAATATATAGTTTATTAACCTTTGTGACATAAATTGACTGAGTTATTGAGGTTTGAAAAAAAAATCACGGACAAAAAATACTATTTTTGTACTATACCTAAGAATTGATTCTGGAATATCTTCCAGCTTCATCAATATACATGCACAAAAAAATTGATATTCCTTTTGAAAACATGTTTCTCCACATTTTTGTCCCCTAGAACCTTCCTGTATGGGCAGTATTTCTATATGTAATTGTGGTGTGTACATGAGCAGTCAACAATTTGATTGATTCTTTGTTTCTAGGCAGAATATGGCAAAGTTTATGGCAGAAATTTTTGTCAAATACCATCTACATGTACATCAATCAAATTCAGAATGATTTTGGCAATATGTTCCCTCAAATTTTTTCTGGGGGCAAAGAACTTCAGAAAATCAAACTTGCAGACACATTCAGGAATTACATGTAGAAATACTACCCATACAGGAGGCTTTAGGGGACAAAAATGTGGAGGACAGTTTGAAAAGATATCATCATCCCCTGCGATTGCGAAGAACGTGAGATCCTCTCCTCCTTTTTT